ATTTGTGTGGATCATAACAAACTATGATCCACAGTACCTTGAGAAGATGGGGAATTCCAGAATACCTCATTGTGCTCATGCAGAACCTGCACATGGATCAAGAGGCAGATATGTGAATAGAACAAGGGAATATGGCATGGTTTAAAATAGGAAAGATGTGCATCAGATTTGTATCCTCTCACCTTACTTGTTTGAAAATTTCCCCCCTTCTTCATTGCCATCTAGTCAATGATTCTTGGTGACCCTATTGGACAAGGTAGATGGCTCCTGTGAGTTTCTGAGACTGTAACTCTTCAGAGAAATTGGATTACTTATATGATGAAGAATGCAACATCAGGATTGAAGGAAGGCTTATTTAACAACCTTCGATATGCAGGGACACAATCTTGCTTGCTGAAGCAAACAAGGAGGACTTGAAGTACTTGCTGATGCAGATCAAAGATTTCAGCCTTCAGTATAGATTACAGCTAAATGTAAAGAAGCCTAAAATCCTCACAACTAGACCAGTGGGTAACATCATGATAAATGGAGAAAAGATTGAAGTTCTCGAGGATTTCTTCTTGCTTGGTTCCACAATCAATGCTCATAGAAGCAGCAGCCAAGAGATGTAGCCACACATTGCCCTGGGTAAATCTGCTGCACAAGATCTCTTTAACGTTGAAAAGCAGGGAGATTACTTTGAGGACTAAGGTACATCTGAACCAAGCCATGGTATTTTCAATCACCTTATGTGCATGTGAAAGTTGGGCATTGAATAAGGAAGACTGAAGTAGAATTAATGTGTCTGAATTATGGTGCTGGCAAAGAATATCGAAAGTACCATGGACTGCCAAAAGGACAAATCTGTCTTGGAAGAAGTACAGGGAGAATGCTCCTTAAAGGCAAGGATGGCAAGACTTTGTCTTACATACTTTGGACATGTTGTCAGAAGAGACCAACCCCAGAGAAGGATATGATGCTTGCTAAAGTTGAGGGGCAGCGGAAAGAGGCCCTTGAGGAGATGGTCATTGACACTGTAGCTGCAACAATGAGCTCAAACATAACAGTTGTGTGGATGGCGCCGGACTGGGTGAGGGTGGTGCAGGACTGCACACATTCACTTGTACACACAGGGTCGCTGAGTCAGAACCAACTCAATAGTACCTAACAACAACACAAGAGAATGGCTGAAGGAGATAAT